GATAGGCGACTTATAATCAATCAGACAGTGCCTGGGCGGAGCATTAAGCAAGACTCCAGCCTGGTGATAACCTATAGACAGAGAGGCAGCTGGATCAGAGCCAAAGTAGCGCATTTTAAAATTACATTACATTACATTAAAACATTTTATTTTACTACTTTGCTGACGGAATTTCTCATTTCTGTGTTCCAGGAGCCATTCACTGCTTTCCATCCCGATTCAAAGTTTGTGCAAAAGTTTCTGAAGCCGCTGCTGATTGGAGAGCTGGCAGCAACAGAGCCCAGCCATGACGGAAACAAAAATGTGAGCTTGGCCTCAGATTCAAATAAAGACCTGCCATTATTCATGTAGCAGCTTTAGTCTCTTTAGTGTCAGGGGAACAACATGGCAGGAAGTAGCCTAGGCTACACCTGAGGAAAAGATGTAGGCTAGGTCAGAACCATTCACAGATCTGTTATTCATGAGTCCTACAGTGTTTATCTGAGATACTGGACTTGTGCTTCATTAGCTGTTAAGTAATGTCTTCTTGATCTTCTCTGTACCTAAAACCCTGGTGCCGCACGCCATCAAATGCTATGAAAATGTTCACAGAATGTGTCGATTTCTTCTTCTCTGCTCCCAGGCAGCAATTATGCAGGATTTCCAGGCTTTACGTACGCAGGCGGAGAACGAGGGTCTGTTTCGATCTCAGCCTTTGTTCTTCTCCCTCCACCTGGGTCACATCCTGCTGCTGGACGCCCTCGCCTGGCTGATGGTTTCGCACTGGGGAACCAGCTGGACCATGACGTTTCTGTGCGCGGTCATACTGGCAACCGCTCAGGTGACTTGAACACCGTTACCTCTAAATGAACTGTTTTGTGCTTCAAAAGATAAATAATCTCAAAATGCTTGTTTCTCTTCTGACTCTTTAGTCGCAGGCCGGATGGCTGCAGCATGACTTTGGCCACCTGTCGGTCTTCAAGAAGTCCAGCTGGAATCACTTAGTGCACAAGTTTGTCATCGGCCATTTAAAGGTAATTGGTAGTCTCGGTTGTATATATATGTCTTTCTGGACATTTTACACAGATTTGTTTTCTTAGGGAGCCTCTGCAAACTGGTGGAATCATCGGCATTTCCAGCATCACGCCAAACCTAACGTCTTCACTAAGGACCCTGACATCAACATGATGGACATGTTTGTACTTGGAACCACTCAGCCAGTGGAGGTGAGTAGCACACAGCTGATATTCCTGATTTCTTAAAACAGCCCTTAAACATCCAATGTGAGCTATAATCTCTTACAAGCTGCTCAATGTGTTGGCTCATTCTAACTCTGTATTCCTCTCTGTTACAGTACGGCATAAAAAAGATCAAATCATTGCCCTACAATCACCAACACCAGTACTTCCATCTTAGTAGGTTTTCTTGGAGTCATTTAAAAATAATGAAACTCCAACTTAGTGAAAAGTTTACAGGAATAATTGTTTTTTTGTTTCTCTTTTAGTTGCACCGCCGCTTCTCCTTCCAGTTTTCTACCACATCAATATAGTACAGACCATGATTTCTCACCGCTTGTGGGTGGTAAGATGCTCTCCTCTGTGTGGTACAGTGCAATTAATGTGAAGGTTTTTTGTTTGGTATCAGGTCACATAGGCAAATAGTTCTAAGAATATTTCAGCTTAAAGTGCTGAAGGAAAAAAAAACATTACAATAAGTGAAAATAGACAATGTGCCACAAATAGAGATAAAAGATGCATTTCAGGGAGATTCTTGGTAACACAGATACAGTATATACCAATCATATTCATATAATCATATCTTTTCCTGTGAAGGATCTGGCTTGGTTTATGTCTTACTACGTTCGCTTCATGTACTTTTATGTACCTCTGTATGGCGTGTTTGGCTCAATGGGGCTCCTGCTCTTTGTCAGGTAAATGACCTAAAAGAATAACTCAGAAATGTTTTTGGTGAGACTTTCTCGACATACTTTATAAAGTGTATAAACTGTATGTTGCAACTAATGGATCGGTTGAGAGTTGTTTTTAAATTATTTATGAATGGTCTTTTGGGCTGGATGCTCCACAGCACTTTTCTTAAAGGTGAATTCTTTATTTTTAAATCGGTGCTTGTGATAAATTACAGTTTATCACAAGCACCCCCCCCTTTTTTTTGAGACACATACCGTGCAACACATGCTCTGAACACAGCAAAAATTTAAAACACATGAATACACATTCATACAAGACAGAGCAAGATAAAACAAAACAGACTACATGATGCTGGAGGAGGATAAACACCAGTGAAAGATATTTTTCAGAATCTGGCAACCCAAAAGTTGTTCCCATGTTTTATTACTGATCTATAAATCATTAAGAAATTATTTGTTAACTTAAATAAACCAAGTACTTTCAAACCCTTTATAAAAATGGCTTATTAGGAAGTGACATTATTATACAACAACTTGATCACATGGTGTGACAAATAATTTAGTGACTGGTATTGTTACCATTGACAGGTTTCTGGAGAGTCACTGGTTTGTGTGGGTGACTCAGATGAATCATCTGCCGATGGAAATTGACCACGAGAAGCACCGGGACTGGCTGAGCATTCAGGTACCTGGTATATTATGAAACAGGTGCACTCTGCGCTGCTGATGGGTTAACTCATCTGCACTAATTTGTATTACCCTCTACTTTAGTTGCAAGCCACCTGTAATATCGAGCAGTCCTTCTTCAACGACTGGTTCAGTGGACACCTCAACTTTCAAATCGAACACCAGTAAGTTTGTAGTGCCATGTCAGCTTTTTGAAGTGAATGAGATAAAATCAGTCTATAGATACAAATTTCATTAACAGTCCATCAGACATCTCTGAAAGCTACTGAAAATCATGTTACCAGTAATTTAACTCTTTTATGAAGCACCCATTAAAAACTCAAACTGATCAGACCTGCTGAACTTCATTTTAAATTCCAGTGATCTTAACGTTTTTTTTCTGAATTGTGTATAAAATGACTTGAATATTTATCTCAGTGTAAACATCATACAGTTAAGTCTTATTGAAGAGTTGGAACAAGCTGATGTAGAATACACTGAAGTTGACCGTGATTAATTTTAACACATAAAAGCTACTTAAAGCCCCTGAAAATGTAGTTTCAAATTGTTAGTTATTATTTTTAGTCTTACACATTAAAAATCTCAGCTTATCTGCTTTGGCAAAATACACAAAAAAAAACTAAATTGTAATAACTTTGGCAGAAAATACAGTTTATGTAGGACACCGCCAACCACAGTAAGATGTCGATTGAGAAAATTAGCTTTCAAAGCCTAAATTTAGGGGGAAACCTTTTGTCAATCAGTCAGCATACAAGATGATCTTTTGATCTTGGTGAACAATAGCTTTTATGTGCTATTAGAGGTTTATTGGTTTGCGCTGAGAGTAAAAAGTAGTTTTGCATTTGTATACCTTTGTAAGACAGAAGAGTACCATTTTGGCAAGTGCCTCCCTCAAGTATCAATTTCAAATGAATAAACATCTAGAAAATGTGAACTTCAAAAGCCTTCTGTTCCCTTTGTCTCTGAAGCTTGTTTCCCACGATGCCGCGCCACAACTACTACCTTGTGGCCCCGAGGGTCCGTGCACTGTGTAAGAAACATGGGATTCCTTACCAGGAGAAAACGTTGTGGCGAGGCTTCGCTGATATTACTGAGTAAGTCCAATTTAGTGTTATATCAAATATTGCCAGGATGTGACACAGCAGTTTGTCAAAAGCCCAAAAGACATGGTTTTTGGTTTGACAAGGCAGCAAAACCACTGTGTGTATATATGTCTTCAATAAAAGGTATGAAATTAAAGTGCAGCTGACAGAATAATGATGACTGAATGAGTAAAAAAATTGTTTGTAAGTTATTTTCTCACAAAATGTAAATTCCTTGCAGAACATATTAGAGTAGAGTATGCACCTCTTGTCTGATGTTTTGCGAATTGTTTTCTCATTTTCTTTTCTCAGGTCACTGAAGAGCTCAGGGGACCTCTGGCTCGATGCATATCTCCATAAGTGACCAATGTTATTCTCTACATTGTACCTAAAAAAAAAAAAAAGAAGTGATGTTTTTTCTCCTCTTCGGCATCATAAAATTATTGTATCTGTTTGGTTTTATAATCCAGTCAATAGCATGGGGATGATCTTTTTGTAATGATGGTGTTAGGGTTAAGTAGTTCAAACTTTTCAGATTCTATGCAGGGTTTTTAGTGCACCCAGGATTTTTTAAATTGCCTTACAGTATCTTGAGCAACAGTAGTATGGTGTTATAAATAAAATAAATAAATAATAAATAAATAATATCTTTATGTTACCATATTTTAATATACACTTAATTACATGTTAGGTTCTGTGTGTGTAGCATGAAGAGACTACAGACTTTCACTTCATTATACAACCTTGTGTTGTCTGATAAATAAACTACCTTGATCCTTCATCCTTGATAACTGTGAAAGCTGATATTGAGGTGGTGTTTTTTCTTGATCATGTGATACAGTTTGAGCAATAAAAGATACAATTATGCTGACAAATGCTGTGTAACAGGATTTAAATGTTAATCTACACTTTTTGTAAATTTCTTGTCAAACTTTCCTCTTTACTTGCAACTCTTGTTGATCTTACAGTATATAGTAAATTAACTGTACTGTTTCTCCACTTCTTGCATTATTGGTCCATAGACAAACCCAAGTTATGTACAAATAAGGTGTAAAAGCAAATATTTACAATTTTTTTTTTAATGGCCTTGAATATTTTGTTTAAATATTCATTTAATTATTCATACATGACCAACAAACGCTCATATATTTCTTATTATACCCGTGTGTATGTGCAGTTCACACTGCAAAATATAATGCTGCATAAAAACACAATCAGCTGCGTCTGACACAATCGACCTCAACATCATGCTTCAGGACTGTCGGTAATGGTCACTGTGTCTGGGATTTTGTGGCTCAGAACCCAAATGCAGACAAGGACACAGCTTAAAAGGATATTCACACGGTTTATTGAATACAAGATCAAGATATGGTTTGATTTGGCTCGATGCTGGGGGTAAGGTTCCTCCGATGTCGCGGGGCAGGTAAGTGCCAGGGCCAGGCAAGGCAGGTAACAGGGCTGACAGAAAAGTGAGACTGCGGTGGGGAAATCTCCAGCCAGGCTTTCTCCGTGACTGAGCGACACAAGAGCAGAGCAGGGTCTCCAAAACACCAAAGCAGGGCACAAGAAAAAACAGAGTCAAAAACTGGTACAGGGTAACAGGAGGCAGGTTAAGCAGGCCGTAGCGTTACCTACAAACAAGACTTAATAATCCAGCGGGAAACTGAGGAGATAGCAGGGTATAAACCAGTCCTGATGATCACAGGAGACAGGTGTGTGAAACGCCGATTGCCTGCAGCTGGGGAGACACGCCCAGCTACCAGAGATGCAGCCCACAACTCTGCCCTGAGGGAGAGGAAGGAAAAGACGAACGAGAGGGAGAAGAAGAGAGAGAGAGAGACACCACACATTGACAAACAAAACTAAAACCCACCAAGCATCTCTCACACACTCAAAAAGGGAAAAAAATAACTCAAACACAGACACCCACCAGCTGTCACCCAGTGTGACACACTGCAGGCAATGTACCCTGTGGTTCAAATACTACCTCTCTGGGATTTCCTACAATGTGTCTTGGCAAAGACATATTTCCTCCTCTCACTGTCTCTCCACTGGGGTGTCCAAAGGCTCATGGCTAAGGCCTCTTCTTTTCTCAATTTACACCACCACACTGGGGCCAATCATTTACTTGCATGGTTTCTCCTACCATGCAGACTTGGGTGTCATGATTGATGACTAGCTGTCCTCCTCCTCAAATAAGTGGCTTTGGATAAAAGTGCCAAATGAGTAAATGTAATGACAGCATTGCACTATTATAGACAATAACTTCATGCAGGATTATTTAATTATTGTTGACTTCTTATTAAAACCGGAACATTATTTATATTAATACTTAAATAATAAAAAAGGACTTCTGTTACTGGCTAGGAGGACTAGAGTAAAACAAAAATAATTGGCTATATGTCAGACAAAGTCATTCATTAAACAGCTGAATAAACACAGACCACGTGGCTTTGTTGTTGTGGGCACACATGCAGGCTCTTTCTTTGCTGCCAGAATCAATCCTCTCCTGCCTCTTCTTCAAGGTCTCCTGCAGCTCTGAGTCTCCAGTTGTCTTCTGTTAAAAAAGACAGATTTAAGATCAACAGAGTTCATTCTATCAATCAGGCACATGCACACATAGACATAAAAAGGGGCTTCAGCACCTGCCCTTTTTCTTCTTCGAGAGAAAGTGCCCTTATTTCTGAGCCGTTTTTTTTTTTTTTAATAAATGAATATACAGTAGCCTATATTTATTCCTGTTCCGATTCTCTGAAGTGTTATGTATCCAATAACACCAAAAGAATAGAAACAATTTATTGCCTTGTGAAAAATAAACAAATTATTAATGAAACTATGCGATAAATACATACTTGAAACCAGTAGCATAGAAAACTTTTTTGGCATAGTTTGCTTTGCTGTTGCCTGCTCCTGTGATAAACCTAGTGAATCCTAAAGAAGACCGTGGTCTCTGTGTGAACTGATTATTTTGTAGAGTTTTTGTAGAGTTAATATATTTGTCTTGTTTTAAAAAATGACCCTGCCCACCAAAATGTCTGTGCATGTCCCTGCTGTCAATGACTGCACTGTTTTGACATAAAATTGCATAAGCATTGGCAACAGAAGGGAGTGCTACTTCTCTTATCTAAATACAATAAAAGATTACAAGGTTATTAATTACACCTGTTCTTCCCAATGACATACAAACAAGGTATATAACGCACCAGATACCAACATAAGAACAGTAGCAACAGCACATGTCGAATCATGTGTCCAAAGTACCACAATATCTTTAAACAAACGCTAAAGCTAAGGGCCCTGTGTGCTTTGACACAGTGGCACTTTGAGCTGAGTGCTAATGCCACTGCGATTCCAAGGTTGGAGGCTGTTGTATGTTAGATTTACAGATTGAAAAGCCCTCTATGATATTGGGCTATAGAAATTAAATTGACTTGAACTGTCAGCAGGCTAATGTGCTAACATACTGATGTTTAGCTGGTTATAATGTTTCCTGTGTTCACTATCTAAGTTAAGTGTGTTAGAATGCTTACATTTGCTATTTAGCACTAAATACAAAGTGCATCTGAGGCTGAAGGGAATGTCATTCATTTTGCATTTGGACTGGACACAAAAAATTTGGCGTGATGGTGGCAGTAGATGAAATGTCAAGGGATCACCAAAGTGATTACATTTTATCATTAGAAGATCATGAATGTCAAATTTCAAGGCAATCCATCCAATATTTGTTTTGTTTTTCATTCAAAGTCACAAATCTTGACATCATGGTGGAGGAATTTAAGTAGGAGTATCGTCAAAGAAGGATTCATCTTCCAGAGAACATGAATATCTGTACAAAATACAAAAGTACTAAAAAACCTTTTAGAACGTTAACAGGGAAGAAGTACAGTGTGAGCTAAATAGAGTATGTCCACACTGCAGGCCTTAATGCTTAATTACAATTTCTTGCCCAGATCCAATATTTTTTAATTGGCTGTTCACTTTATTATGCCAATGTGGCACATGTCAGACTCCAGTGTGAACTGACCGCAGCCTGAAAGTGAAATGTGCAAAAGCATAATTTGACGCTAAGAAAACACCACACTACTGCAGAAATGTCAAGACACCAATGGCTGAGTTTTCAGTGAAGCAATCAGAAAAGTTTTATGGGTGTTAATCAATAAGTGTAATGTTAATACACGCATGTATTGTACAAGCAGAGCCAGGCTGTAGACTCTTTAAATGGGACATAGCCGGACTGGCTCCATAGTTTCTGTTTGTCTTCCTTCATCACTTGCGAGACACATTTGATTTCAATAACACACACTCTTAACCTGGACACAGCTGAAACTGCTTCAGTGACCTTTCATTTTTACAATTTGTTTACAGCAGACATGATCACATTTAGCAAAGCTGAGGTGTTCTGACAGCTCGTTGGCATTCTGTGCTAGCCGTGTTAGCGCGGCTGTTATCTGCCATTATCTACCCATGTGGCGTTATGGGGAGACGTTGAGAGAAATCCTATCCACAGGGACACGTGGCATAGTTCAACATCATCCTTGACCCTAAGTATGTCTCTGACTCAGTCTTCCCACATCAGCTCCGCACCGTGGCCTGATTGCTTTATTATGACATGACAGAGTTCCCATAAAAGAGCTGGATCAAGAGATTAACTAGTGTGTCAGCTTTTATCTCTGGGCAAAAGGACATATATGTGTGTGTATATATATATTTTTTTAATTTTTTTTTTACATGAGTTCAGTGACCTTTTTTAAACTTTCTGGATATACAGTGTAACTGGAACAAAGGTCATCTGCTGGATTCAAACTGGAGGTGTAATGATTATGGAGTTTAAAACAACTGAATTACCAGAATGCCTCAATTATTAGATTTTCCATCTCAATTAATATTTTTTATATAAAAATATATGCTATGTTTATTGAGATAATTTTCCCTCTGATGCTTTAATTTATCTCCCCAGGAAAAAGGTAGGCGAACAGATACTACAGACATTAGCAACAAAATAATAATACAGTAAATTACATTACAAATTTAAATAATACAAGACAAATAACAAAATTCCTGATGCATCCAACAACAAATTCCAGCATGCAGTGCAGGCCTGGCACAGGGGTGGAAACCTATGTTCCCTTCGGGGAGCCCAGCCTCCCTGCCATGTCCCTCAGTGTCTAACTGAGGTGTGAGCAGCCTGAGCATGATGGGGCCCTTCAGCAGGACCTTGGCCCCCTCTTATCACTGTGTATGTTCTGGGAAGAGGCCTGTGATAGGTCAGCTAGGCTGCGAGGTTGCAGCAACATGCGGCTGACTAAGAGTGCTGATATCCTTACATTTGCATAGCAAATTGAATATTGTTGTGATTTGAGTCAATTATGCGTCATTCAGACCAAACGCGAATTTTCTCCTCGTGGTGCTTTCCTTGTGTGAGTACATTTGCTGCAAGTGTTCACACACAATGCGAGTAGGCGATTTTAATGCGATAATGTGAATAAACACAACTTGCCATTACTACAGCTGTATGAACCCACAGTGCTGATCCACAAAGCCTGACTACTGACAGTTTGGATCAGTAAATTGTGTTTATGTTGGAGACAATTTTCAGCCATGGATTGATATACATATAATGTGTATTTACAGCAGCAAGGCAGTGAATGTTGGAGTGACTCAAAATAAACTATAGTGCCCTTGTTCATCATAATGAAGTAACATGCCACCCAGTGCAGCAGTGTGGTTCATCTGTTTTAAATAATTTATGGACAACAATGGAAGTCAACCATCAGGCTTTTAGTAGGATTTAGTAAGGCAAGGCAAAGCAAGTTTATTTGTATAGCACATTTCAACAGCAAGGCAATTCAAAGTACTTTACATTAAATATAAAAGCAACATAGGTAGGATTAATTAATTGTTGATTTTGTATTGGTTTTTTTTCATATGAGAAAGAATTTTTTTCAATGTTGTCTGCCTTTAAGTATAGCAATAATAATTGGCAATAAAGAACATACTTAACAAATAAATAAGTGAGCAAGCTTTCAAAAAACTATTCCTTTACAAGTAACATTTACGACCTATGTTGTTGTTTAGGTTGGAGGACTTGTTTGGAAATAGGCTACAACACGTGGGCTCTCCCGACGCCCAGAAATACGAATGTCAATAATAAAAGGAATATTGGTTTGTAGAACATTGTTGCAGCCATGGCTCACATGTGCAGCCCGGCTGACAACGCTGACAGCTTCACAGACACAGTTGGAGCGTTTTGGACAGTTTGTAAATAATATGGCCCCTCAGTGACTGAACAAAGATGGCTGAGGAGCAACTCAGCTCAAGTATGACTTCCACAATATCAATGATATACAATATATAACTATACTTCCAGCCATGCAATGCAGACTGGAGCACAAACATCAATGGTGACAATGCAAAATACAGACATGCTATCACTGGACAATTGCAGATTGTTATAAACTGTTATCATAAAATTAGTTATGCCAATAACACCATCAGATGCCTATCACAGTTTGATTTCAAGTGTCCAGTAGGCTTACTGAGTGAAGGCTAATTGTTAGGCTAAATGCATTATTCAGTAGAACTGATTGTAGCTGCATCACCTGGTATTTCAGTGTAGGTCCTTATTACATGTCTAGGCTAGCCTATGAAATTCACACTATCAGCAAAACCAGCCAAAAATGTGTGGTGATAACTGCATTTGATCTAAGAAGTGGATTTAAATTTGGCAGAAGATATACCTGCCAAGATTTACATTCACCAGTTTTCCAAGCATACAGGCCTATGAGTGTTATAAGTAATAAAATCAATTGGTCAAGTCAACAGTGTTTGACCATTGTGTCAGCAAACTTGTTTTTTTACATGCCGATATTTGCATCCACCTCTTTTTTCAGCCAGGAAGTATTTATTATAATATGAAATTCTTAATGTCAACTCAAAACAGCACAACATGGTGGGCTAACAGTGTCTGACCCTCATGTGTCTGAAAACAAACATAACAGGTGGATGCATTATTCGACAATATTGATAGCCTGCATGCTGTCTCAAAAAGTCCGTTCAATCCCTGACCTACAATGGTCAGGTGGAAATGGCCAGCTGGACCAAATCCTGCAGATAGATTGAATATGGAAAGATAGTTCTGGCATTAGAAGTCCCCATCATGCCATTCAACATCTCAACATCCTTGCAGACAAAAGAGCTTCATCACAGACAACATCTCTGTCGTAGTGACCATGGTGTGTAGGCCTACGTGATGCCACCCAAATGAATTCAAGGCTAGAAATCAGATTGCTCCTGGGTTTGAATCAAGTCTCTGTTGACAGTGTGCGATTAACAAGAATGTTGATTGCTAGAAAGAAGCATGTCCACCAAAATAAATATAAAAACATGATTGTCAGAGAAACTAACTGCATTCATTGTAGGAAAAGAGCAAACTCATTATAATTAATTCCCTTCCTGTGGAACTACAGCGTTAAATTGGTGAGTAATAATAATAATCTTTGTTTATAGAGCACTTTTAAAACCAACAAAGTGCTTAACATGAAGCAGTTATAACATAAAAACATGTAAAACAATACAAGAAACAAAAATATAAATAAAATCATGTAAAATCCGGGAATACTCTTCGATGAAAGTGTAGGCTATGTTTTAACAAGGGATTTAAAAGAGTTTACTGATTCAGCCGACCTAATTTCCTCGGATAGATTGTTCCAGAGCCTCGGTGCCCTAACTGCGAAGGCTCTGTCCCCTCTCAATTTCAGCCGGTTCTCTGGGACAAATAAAAGCCCCTTACCCGAGGATCTCAAGTTATGAACTGTGTATGTATGGTACTACTAGGTCAGCAATATAGCAAGGGGCGAGACCTTGTAAAGCCTTAAATGTAATCAGTAAAATCTTAAAATCAACTCTAAAACATACTGGGAGCCAGTGTAACGAGGCCAAAACAGGAGTGATATGATCACGTTTCCCAGTTCTAGTTAAAAGCCTGGCAGCTGAATTCTGAATATACTGTAGCCGATAGATTTTCAATTCAGGCAGGTAAAAAGACAGTTGTCTAAACGTGAAGAAAAAAGCATGTAAAATGGTCTCAGTATCTTTAAAAGATACAAAAGGTCGGATTTTAGAAATGTTTCTAAGATGATAAAAACGTGATGGCATCAGCTTTGTGGTGTGCTGCTCAAAACATAAATCACTGAAATCAGACACAAAGATTCCTTGACACTGGCTTGATTTAATCTGATAAACCAAGGCAATCTGTGAACGGCATGATATGTTTTGTCAAATGCTTGGGGCCAATGATGAGGATCTCTATTTTATCAGATTTTAATTGAAGGAAATTATTGAACATCCAGGTTTTTTTTAACTCACTAAGGCAATCCTTCAATGAAGTTAACATTTCAGTAAGAAGCATAGCCTACACTTGTCATGGTGACATGTCATTACTCTTCTTGCAAAACAGGAAAAAAAACTTTTATCTGATGCGTTCATGCAGCAAACATTTAAGCAAGATAAAGGGCTCAGACACAAACCGTAATGTACAAACAAAGCTCTTACACTTAGGTGTTATAGAGGTCCGTTTTATCCTGCAGGTTAATCCAGGGGGCGTTATTGAGAGGAATTGCAACTAAACTAAACTCAACCAATTTCCACACCATAGGTCAGTTATGAAAACGTTTTGACCAAGATTGTTCTCTTTCAGGATGAATCTTTAGTTCAAATATGTATGTCACATTGCTGATTTTCTGATCAAGAATGTTTTTGTTCTGCAAGATCAGCTAAATTGAATCTTTTCTGTCAATCAATTTATGTGTTTACTTATTTAACCTACAGCAGGACATACCAACATGAGCAAATTGCAGAATAATCGGTATCGGTGTTTTTAACAGAGACCGATCCTTCCATAATATTATGTTTGTTGTCGCTGCATAGTTTGTCCACCAGAGGGCACTCTGCAACTCTACCCTGTTGGCAACACATGTTTAGGATGACACAAATCCACCACAAGACACAGCAATCACCTGACATAATCAGCTGTATTTTTGTTCAAAGTACTATACCACTGGAATTGTACTGTTTATAACAATAAAAAAATATAACAAATTAAACTGCATTAGGCTATGTCCCTTGCCCTTGGTGATGTTTCATACATAGCCTACAACAAATGTTGTATAGATTTATTAGATTTTATTATTCATAAAGTGAAATATTCCAGGCCTTTTTTTGTTTTAATGGGCTACACCACCCACATCTCAAAATATTAGAATAAAGAATGTATAATACAGAAATGTCGACCTGTGAAGAGCCTTTAATCTCTCATTATGGATAGGTGCACACAACCACAATCATGGGGAAGACTTCTGACTTGACAGTTGTCCAGAAGACACTAATTGAACCCTCCACAAGAAGAGTAAGCCACAGAAAGTCAATGCTGAAAGGGCTGGCTGTTCGCAGAGTGCTGTATCAAATCTTATTTATGGAAAGTTTACTGGAAGGTTAAAGTGTTAAAGGTTAAGCAGAACTTTTCCACAATATTCTAATTTTCGGAGCTGCACCTGTATAGGCTATTCACATTCTTAGGTGTTATAGGCTACTGTCCACTATACCAGCAGTGTTATGTATGTTAGAGTGAACAGCTGTGGAACTGTTTTCCATTTTCTCTGTGTATTCCAGTCTCTGTGAATCTGAGTTTCTAGGCTGAGACAAGGCTCCTCTGTAGGAAAAAATATGCGCCACTGCCACAGTTAATGTAATTGTTCATGCACTTCTCTGCTCTAGGCGAGACGCTCCAAACTGCTTCTGGTCCAGTTGAATGTCTTTGTTTAATTTCTACTTTAATAAATACCAAAAGTCAATTGTTTGATGTAACTTTATTGTTGTATAGTAATGCATAAGTAATAATAATAATGTCACACTGACAGGGTCATTCCGCTGCCACTGCAGTGAGTACAATTTACATTTGATACTAAAAATACATTTTGTTGCTAATACTTAGTACTTCTACTTAAGCAGGGTTCTGAATCCAGTACTTTTACTTTGCTGCTGTTGACTTTTTCTAAATACTTTTCTCCACCACTTGGAGACACGTGTACAACCTATAGGCTGTATCCATCCTTCTCACAGTTGACATGGGGGCTCATTTAATCGACGTACACTAAAACGTCACTTCCGTAAACTGGGATTTCTTCTTTCTCCCCCCCACCACTGAATAAAACATTTGATATTTGCAAAAATCTCTATCTATATATTTGAATAAACGTTTATTTTACATTGCTGTTGCACATCCAAGACAAAGGTACATAACTAACAGGATCAAATGTTGGAAAATAAAACAGCGGACATGATTTTTCGGGCTGACGTCTCCGTGTTGTCTCCTCCTCCCCCAGGTCTGCGCCGTGCTGTCCGTGCCGTGGATGGGAGGGAGGAGTTGTTTGGGGATGGTGGGGCCGGGGTATCGCGTCTCTCGGCTCGGGCTCTCGGTATCTTGCTAGCACACAGTCGCCTGCCCGCATCCAAGATGGATTGTTTACAAGAAGAATGAAAAACAGCCATTATCATCGTGACAGCTCCTTCTGTTGGTAAATATGAGTCCTTCATAACAAAGTGTTGTCATCGCTGCAGCCAGGAGATGATTTCTGAGCTAAGGCCTTTCACTTTGCAGAGCTGTTACATTTTGTATGTACATATGGGGGTTATTGTGAAAAGGTGGCCTAAACAACGCTATAGATATTTAACTTATCTTTCAGTTTATCAGTCAGAGACGAGGTGCGTGTGATGTCTGTGGCTTCGGATCGTGTTGTTGTGTTAAGATGACAAAGCTAGCTTTAGCTAACAGCTTGTCATCTGAATTACCACAGTTTTGTTATTATTGCCTTGTCAAACTAGCAGACGTCCCCCCCGAAGAGAGTGAGTAGGTATGGCTGAAGACATTTGTCCTCACCTGGACTCCATAGGAGAGGTCACCAAGGAGGACCTCCTCCAGAAATCCAAGGTGGGTTTTTCATTCATTCACTATAAATATGTCAAAGATGCCCAATCCAGGTCATTGGCAGAGTGTGCCATGGCCTACACACCCCTTAAGGTCATTACATGTTCAGCCTTAACATTACCACGTGATCTGGAATATATTCTGTCTTTATTGTGTGTCTACCGTGAAAAGCATCACTGGTTCTCACCCATCCATCTTTTGGATAAGATGTTAAACCGAGGTCCAGACTCACTGTGGTCATTAAAGATCCTATGACACGTAGGGGGTTCCCCAGGGTCCTAGCAAAACAAATCCCTAATCTGACCTTTTCCATTTGGCCATCTAATCATCCCCCAGAGTGATTGGCTCTATGTTTTCTACCCTCTCCACCTCAAGCTGATGTGTGGTGAGTGTCTGGCACAAATGGCTGCCTTGCATCCCCAGGTGGGTGCCACACATTGGTGGTGGTTGAGGGTAGTGCCTCTCCCCTTCACTCTGAAGTGCTGTGAGTGACTAAGATAAAGCCCTATCTAAATCTAATCCATTATCATTATTATTATTATTATTAACCAAAATGTTATGTAATATTTTATTCATGTTCTCCTTCTCTTTCTACAGGGAACTTGCCAGTCTTGTGGAGCAGGGGGCCCAAACCTGTGGGCCTGTCTGCAGGTAGGGTCAGGGCTTGAATCCTTGCCGTTTCAAGGGTAATTGCCGGTTTAGCTTGTGTGCCTTGTCACATAAATGATGAATATTGCGAGCGCAACTACAGCTGCATTTGCAAATAAAAGAATGCCAGGTGAATGCTTAATAATTAATGATGATGTTTTAGGCTTAAATGTAATTACAAATGCAGTAGCTCTCAAACTCACGCATGCATGTAAGTACACAAAATGGGCAGTTCCAGCTGTGATTTTATAGTCCTATTGGCGTTTGACATTCTAGGATGAAATTAATTTATAGATTAAGCTATTTTAGATAGACAGATAAGTAGATAATGTGAAAGATATAAGCGAGGGTTCAGTCGCTGTAAGATCGTGTCTAATACAGTGTCTCTGCTTTGTAGAATGACTGCCCATATGTTGGCTGTGGAGAGTCCTTCTCTGATCACAGCACCCTGCACGCACAGGTAAAACCTTCTCACACTAATATACCTGCCAGCTTTTGCTCGTCTTCTCATCAGTTTACCTCCATGGTGGACGGTGACGAGTCCCTTGAGTGATTGCGAGTATGTTTCCTTTAGGCTAAGACGCACAACCTGACTGTGAACCTGACGACGTTCAGGATCTGGTGTTATGTGTGTGAGCGAGAGGTGTTTTTGGAGCACAGGCCAGCCCTGGTGCCTGTACCTGCTGTACCCCAACACTGTAAAGCCACAGAGCAGGTACGACTCTTCTCCAACAGGGTCACACCTCCTTATTGGTCTCTGTCCCTTCCCACTTGATGAATTGATGGAGGGCTAGTGATGCTATTTCAAAGCCTGCTTCTTTACTCACTCGACATATTTATAGTGTCTATTAATTATTCGCCAGGAAGCAGCGCCTCAGCCAGTAGGTCAACCTCTAAAAGCCGTACCAATTGCTGTGGCAGAAGAAGAAAGTTCAGAGTCGGAGGAGGATGAGCTTAAACCCAGAGGTACACAAAGTCTTCTGTCAACATTGTGTCCCCTAAACAACAGTTCACTTGAAGCTCCTTAAATCAGACTCGTTTGCGGCGGTTGTTAATGGGACAAATTTGTCACTGGTTTTAAGAAAATCTTTAAGAATCAATTCCAAAAATCTTTTCATTGTTGGATTCTTGTAAGTACTCATAATATTAGGTCATCGCTGCCATATTTAATACATAAGAATAGTTACTAGTCCTGTTTCTTTTAATCCAGACTTGCATTGATAATTAACCCTTAATGGTGCCCTCTTCAATAGACTTGTTCTAAAAATAAATGTGCGTTAACATCTAAATTGCATAGTTTGGACACCTTTGGTACAATATACATACAAGAACGTGTTCCCCTCTTGTTTGTAGGCTTGACAGGAATGAAGAACATTGGCAACTCCTGCTACATGAACGCAGCTCTGCAAGCCTTATCCAACTGGTGAGGTCAATTCTTCTCGTTACATTTGCGATGTGTCTCTTTTTCCTATGTTAAGACATCTTCCCTTAATTAAACAGTTGTGTTGATGTAATGTTTTTCCTCTCTTCTCTCACCAGTCCCCCTCTCACTCAGTTCTTCCTGGACTGCAGTGGATTGGTTCGGACCGATAAGAAACCTGCTCTCTGTAAGAGCTACCAGAAACTCATCTCAGAGCTCTGGCATAAAAAACGGTAATAAACACATAAACGTGACATAAAACTGCTTGAGACAAGTGACACAATAAAGCTATACATTTTATGTAAAAATGAGACGTTTATGTACGAATGAATCATTGTGTTAAACTAACTGTCATGGCGGCTACCCTCCCAGGCCCAGCTATGTCGTCCCTACCAGTCTGTCTCATGGCATCAAACTAGTAAATCCCATGTTTCGTGGTTACGCTCAGCAGGTAGGGGCAAGCACCCAGCAGGTAACTACACCTGGCATCACTCAACAGCTTGACATTGTCTTGTGAACCCCTATGTATTTTTCTAACGCATTCCCTAAAAATGACAAAAGTTATTTTTGCTATTTTAAATACATTTGTTTATAATGTTCTAAGGGATAGTCCAGTTTCGGGGGAATTTTCCTTACATCCCCACAACCAGACAAAGTTGTAGTTTCCTTTTTTGTCTCTCTGTTGAGAACAGTGGAGATGAACTGTAGGACAGCATAAATATAATCTTATTTATTTAGTAGTCATAACATTAACGACTTTGTAATCACTTAAACTACAATGTGTTTGTCTAGTTAGAATAGTTTGACATTTTGCGAAATGTGCTTTTTCACTTTCTGGCAGAGAAGCAGTTAGCTTAGCTTAGCATAAAGAGAGGAACCAGCTAGCCACAAAGTGTAATTGTAATTTTATACTTGTAAGGTAAGATGTAAGGTCTTAATTAGTGAGCTTTAGAGGTCCTGGTAGGTGGAAACCGTTACATTTGGTCTTTATGCTATGCTAAGCTGAACATTGTCCTAACTCTAGCTTTTATACATTGCATACAAATATCAGAGTGGCCTTGATCTTCTCATGTGACTCTTGTCAAGAAAACAAATAAGTGTATTTCCCAAATGTTGAACTATTCCTTTAATTTTAAGAGAGGCTCCTTGATCCAGTAGACATCCAGTATATGAGCTAAGATAGGCTAAACTCTCAACATACCTTCAAAATGCATACAGACACATAAAAAAACGCATCTGTGACTTTGTCTGACTCTGAGGAAGTAAGAAACACTCAATTGCCCCTTTTAAAATACACAAACAAATGAACATCTTAAATCAAACCTTTGAGTTGTATTTGAGGTGCGTTTTAGTCTGAGTCTTTGTAAGAAACTGCATTACCTGTGTAATATTGTTTAAAAATGTTTCTTGGTTGATTTAGGTTTAGAACATGTTTGACTGGAAATATCTATTTTTGTTTAACTGTGATTGCCATGGAAAAAAGTTGAGAATGATAATGAATTTTGCCTGTATGATTAGGGTATACGTTATCCATGTACAACTTCTCACCAATATACAAAATGCTTCCTTGTTGTAAAGAAGACATACACCGTTACTCACACATTTTTATTTCCATCTTCTTGTTTTGAAATAGTCAGGTTTACAGACATTTATTTGTTACCTATTTAACACATATAACTCCTGTCTCTGTGTATATAGCCATATTCATGCGTCTTCATTTTGAGTGACTGTTATGTGCTTTTCTTGCTACAGGACACTCAGGAGTTCCTGCGCTGTCTGATGGACCAGTTGCACGAGGAGCTGAAGGAGCCTCTGACAGAGTGCAGCATGAGCGGGGAGGGGAGTGATGGTGAGGAGATAAGAGATGGAGACCGCTCCCCGTCTGAGGATGAATTCCTATCCTGCGACTCTGGCTCCAGCAGTGACCGGGGGGAAGGAGGGGGAGTGGGTGACAGCGAGCTGCTGCTGCAGGATGAGTGTGACGGGGTCAGGTCACCGGCAGCGGGGATGGTGGCTGTCAGTACCGGCGGGGTGATCTCGGAGAAGGAGAGGCTGAAAGAAAGGAGGGTGTCTGGCTCTCCCCTCCGTGGAGGCTCGCAAGAGATGGATGAGGATGCTGATGTGGATACCGCAGCTGTGGAAGGGGCTCCTGACAGGGGGGAGGAAGAGGAGTTGACGCCAACTCCAAATACTGAGGTCCAAAGTCAGGAGAACAACCAGGTATCTGACACTGGGCATGGGCAAGCCCAGAGCAACAACACCTCAGGTATAAGGCCAGCATGATTATGAAAGTGGATGTTTCAGTTTTATATTAATAGCATATGGATCGTTTGTCTCTAAACTGTCAGTTTTGTTCATCCAACGTGCTGTTTTCTAGAGCCGGACAATGAAGCATCAATGAGCCAGCCCCAGTCCCAGTCCACTCCCTGTAGTCCCGTGCGAACCCTTCAGGAGCTGCATCCTAAACTGTCCTCCAGTCCACCTCGCTCCAGCCCCCTCCGCTCTGCAGGACCCGCGTACTCTTTCAAAAAAGGTAAGGAGCGAAAGATTTCCAGACACCTTCATTTCCAGGGTCTCCTCTTGAGACCACACAGTCTAGGAATGACAACTTGTTCTTAAGCATCTCCTCCTTTTTAGCTAGGAGTAACTAGTGTTGCCAAGAGGTTGACATTTTTAGTGAAATCTGAAGTATTGGAGGGATTGTCATGAAATTTGGGACAGACTTGTATATCCCCCTCAGGATAAATTGTAAAAACTTTGGCGATGTCTTCACATTTAATCTAGTGCCACCATGACTTCAAAATTATAATTTGTCCAATACGTTGATTTACGAGTAAATACTTGGAAAAGGTGCCTGTAGATACTTATTCTTGTTGAAATAAATTGACGGTGTTTTGGGAATGCTCACCCAAGTCTCATCCACACATGTGAACCAGTGTTTTTAAGCTTCTGCTCTGTACATATCCAGTGCCTTTCTCTCCACTTCCTCCGTGTGTACATTTGAGTGCAGCAATCTTTAAAAGGGACCTCTGTATTAAGTCTCTACTGTTAAAACACAGCACTTTTTGAGCATCTTTCTATTATGAATGAGTGTACTCCTGTTGTTATCGTCTCCACTTTGTGATTTTTCGGGATGCACATTAAATAGTGGTGTGACAAGTCCCTGGATTTTTGTAGTCCACAGAATTTTCTACACGTTGCACGGTGTTACTACAGGTGTTAAGATATTTAGAAATGTTTTAGATGACTAATTAACAACAATGAAATGAATGCAAACATTCTTTGGCATGCTTTTCTCTCATCCACACACAGGATTCTGGTGCTTTGTTAGACCTAGTCTACATATTAACATGCAACAATATTAAGTTTGTCCACTAATATCCTTCTTACCCTCATAATTTTCCAGCTCAGCTGCTGCTCAGTTGCAGGAAGAAGAAACAATCTCACTATCGCAGTGTGATCTCTGACATCTTTGATGGCTCTATCCTCAGTCTGGTGCAGTGTTTAACCTGCGACAGGGTGAGCTGTGCTTCACATATTTAAACACCAGGGGGAGCTATATATTAAGTCAGAAAAAACATCTGTATTTACTAAGTTATATATTTTTGTCTTAAGTATTATAAAGAGTATTTTATATGATTAGAATTAATACACAATGCATCTGTGGTATTCTTAATTGAACAATCGGATTTTTCATTTGTATTGTTCGCAATGCTTTTTATTATTTTAGATGATTTACTTAAATCCATAATCACTCATACACCACACTCTGACTTGTTAAGTGTAATGATTAAGTAATGATTTATTTCACAGCTCATGGAGAAAAGCTCTACTCTTACTGATAGGCATGATAGGCATGGTGTGCAAGCAAATTCTCTGAATGTGTGACAGGTCTCTACTACAGTGGAAACATTTCAAGACCTGTCCCTTCCTATTCCTGGTAAAGAGGACTTGGCCAAGCTCCACTCGTCCATACATCAGAACCTTCCAGTCAAGACCGGTGTGTGTCCCGACAATTACAGCTCGCAGGGCTGGATCTCCTACATCATGGACTCCATTCGACGGTCAGTGGGCCGTGCTTAATTGTTAACTTAAGAGGAGAGGAAGAAGTCAGCGAGTTCATTAGAATCTAATTGCGCACTATAATGCTGATGTCGCTGATGTGATCTAATGAGGCAAGTTTCTGTTTAGAGGTTTCCATTTGACTTGACTTCAACGATGATGAAGCTTCTGAGACAAGTGGTACATGGCAATTTATTTGCACTGAAGTCATTTACACTGCATGCGCTGGTGGAGTCTACATTAGATGTAGGTTAGGGCATGTAGGTATCAGAGAGAGAGAGAGAGATGTTGCAGTTTTAAGGACTTTGGAGGATTTTGGAGACAACAACATATATCTTCTCCACTCTACTCTGCTCTGTCAGGCGCCCTGGGCACAGACCATATTTATTGACCTTGTTGTAGTGGGAAGTGACTCAAGACGACCATCTGAGGAGCAAGTCTTTCATGAGACTGTGGTGATCAGGTGTATTTAAGCTGAAAGTTGCCCTTGCAACTTACTGCCCTCAATGATAAGGAGCTAATATCGCTCCAGGCAGGATTGCTTGTAGGGTTATTTAAACATTGCAAGTTCCTGACCCACCTGAAGGTCATTTTTGGTCACTTCAGGTTACAGAATAAAGAGGCCTGTGGCTGTATGTGGTTGTAATGATTGTGTCTCTGAACAGGTTCGTAGTCTCATGTATCCCCAGTTGGTTTTGGGGGCCCATGGTGACCCTAGAGGACTGCCTCGCTGCCTTTTTTGCTGCAGATGAACTCAAAGGTAAACAATACTGCACTGTGGTATTCTGCCATAACACTCAAGTGTAAATGTATGCCCTGTATTTACATTAACATTCATTCTCTCCCCAGGGGACAACATGTACAGCTGTGAGAGATGTAAAAAGTGAGTAAAAAAAAAAAAAAAAGAAGTAAATCCAGGTGGAGACATGAACTGAAGAAATTCTTCTTTAATGAGTAGTTTTACAAGTCACATGCTTAAAAACAAATCATTTAAACAAGGATATTTTTCATTTAGATCTTTTACACAGTATTTTGTTTTCTACAGGTTGAGAAATGGTGTCAAATATTGCAAAGTACTTAGACTTCCAGAGGTACACATTTTTTTTTTTTTTTTTTTTAAATCTAATCTCTTACTTGCTGCAGATAACAATATTATCTTTCAGATGGCCACATAAAGTTTTTGTTCTTAAACTGTTCTTGTGTAGATTCTGTGCATTCACCTGAAACGCTTCCGGCATGAGGTCATGTATTCGTTCAAGATTAGCAGCCATGTGTCCTTCCCATTGGAGGGCCTGGACATGCGACCTTTCCTGGCTAAAGAAAGCCCATCTCAAGTTACCACCTACGATCTGCTTTCAGTTATTTGTCACCATGGCACTGCAGGAAGTATGAGATGACTTCATTTCCTGTAGATTACAGGCATTTCAGATGTTCTACAGTTGTTTTTACAATTTTATCTATGCAGAGTAATCACCTCACTTTTTGTCTTATGTTCTGCATTTTATGGTGCTCTTGAAGGTGGACACTACATAGCTTACTGTCAGAATGTGATCAATGGCCAGTGGTATGAGTTTGATGACCAGTATGTCACAGAAGTCCATGAGACTGTGGTGCAGAACGCAGAGGCCTATGTGTTGTTTTATAGGTAAGCATTTCAAGACTTTGTAAGGTCAACCGGTAATAAATGCTGATTTATTCAAAATGCTGCTACAGAGTGTATTTTTCCTGGATTTATGCAGGAAAAGTAGTGAGGAGTCGGTGAGAGAGAGGCAGAAGGTGGTGGCTCTGGCCAATATGAAGGAGCCAAGCCTGCTGCAGTTTTACATCTCCAGAGAATGGCTGAACAAGTTCAACACCTTCGCAGAACCAGGCCCCATCAGCAACCACACATTTCTTTGTCAACATGGAGGTTTGTAGTAAAATATTAATGTAAATAAATGTGTGTGGCCAAATTCCTGCCTTATCACACTCGCATAACAGACACACATTTTCTTTTCCCACACTATTCAGCTGATTTACATCTGTTAAATGATGGAGGGTAGTGCTATCTAGATGTTAGCTTTTAAAACTAATAATTCTGGTTCTCAACCCAAAAACAAACATCAAAGCTGTATCAATAGCTCAATAGTTCACAGTGTGATAAATATTAGTTAGACTTTTATGATAGTTGACTTATTTACACGTCTCAGTTAAAAAAACAAAGCTTTATTGCTTTTGTGAGTTACAGGCCATTAATGTTCAAGAGGGTAGGGATTTTGTGTACAGTCCAGAAAAGGTCAGAGATTTCTTTTTTCTTCACCATATATTTTCTTTGTACAGGGATCCCTCCGAATAAATACCACTACATAGATGACCTGGTTGTGATTGTTCCCCAGAATGTGTGGGAGTACCTTTACAACAGGTAAATATGTGACACGGACATCATTTTTATGTGAATGATAGTATTCAGGTGAAAAGGAGACTCAAGTCAGTGTCCATTTTTTTCACCCACCGTGACCCTACTGGTCCAGTGTTCAGGTACTCTAGGGGATTTGAAACAAACATTTATATTAACCTTCTAATAACAAGTTGACTAATGTGGGGATTTTTTTTGTTGGCTTTGTTATATCACCACCTTGGCGTCATAGATTGTGGAGGTTTGTGAACATAGCAGTGACGGACCTACAAAAATGATCACCGACTCCATAGTTCCCCTCAGTTCTGAGCAGTGTTTTAATGTCTTATTTAAATTTTTAATTAATTCAATTCAATTTTATTTATTTAGCGCCAAATCACAACAACAGTTATCTCACAGCGCTTTTCATAAAAGAGCAGGTCTAGACCGTACTCTGTGATGTTATTTACAGAAGCCCAACAGTTCCCACCAAGAGCAAGCACTAGGCGACAGAGGCAAGGAAAAACCTCCTTTTAAGAGGCAGAAACCTCAAGCAGAACCATGGCTCAGGGTGGGCGGCCATCTGCCTCGACCGGTTGGGGGTGAAGGAGAGAGAGAGAGAGAGAGAAGCAAGAGAGAGAGAGAGAGGGCAAGAGAGAGAGAGAGAAGGAGGGGAGGGAGGCAGCCTACACAATATACACACAGAGATACAGACAGTAAAGGTGATGTTGCTATAGACTAAATGAAAAATGGTACAGATATTTATAGTAGTGTTAATGGTAACCATCGTAATGTTAATGATTATAATAACAATAATAACAATAGGACTAGTAACAATAGTCGTTGTAGCAGAGGGTGTCGAGCAGGAACACGGGGGCAGCAGGTGACCCGCAACCACAGATCCAGACTCCACAGCTCCAGAGCCAGAAACACCTGCAGGAAGTGATAGGAGAGAGGAGAGAGACGAGAAAACACAAGACTACAGGAAAGGGGAGAAGTTGTGTTAGTAACATGCAATAATGGGTGAGGTTGCATACAGAGGGAGAGAAAGTAGAGGAGAGAGGAGCTCAGTGCATCATAGGAAATCCCCCGGCAGTCTAGGCCTATAGCAGCATAACTAAGGGATGGTTCAGGACTCACCTGAGCCAGCCCTAACTATAAGCTTTATCAAAGAGGAAAGTCTTAAGCCTACTCTTAAATGTGGAGATGGTGTCTGCCTCCTGAACCCAAACTGGAACCTGTTTCCACAGGAGAGGAGCTTGATAGCTGAACGCTCTGGCTCCTAGTCTGCTTTTGGAGACTCTAGGAACCACAAGTAACCCTGCATTCTGGGAGCGCAGTGCTCTGGTGGGGTAGTAAGGTACTATGAGCTCTTTAAGATAAGATGGTGCCTGACCATTAAGAGCTTTGTAGGTAAGAAGAATGATTTTAAATTCTATTCTGGATTTTACTGGAAGCCAATGCAGAGAAGCTAAGACAGGAGAAATATGATCTCTTTTCCTTGTTCCTGTCAGAACACATGCTGCAACATTCTGGATCAGCTGAAGAGTCTTAATGGACTTTTTCGAGCAGCCCGATAATAAAGAATTGCAGTAATCTGCATCATTTTTAGACAGGATGTTCCTGATTTTCGCAATATTACGTAGGTGAAAAAAGGTGGTCCTTCAAATTTGCGTAATGTGAGACTTAAACAACATGTCCTGATCAAAGATAACTCCAAGGTTCCACACAGTGGTGCTGGAGGCCAGGGCGATGACATCAAGGGAAACTATATCTTTAGATAATGCGTGACGGAGGTGCTTGGGCCCCAGAACTATAACTTCAGTTTTATCTGAGTTTAACATTAGAAAATTACAGGTCATCCAGGTTTTAACACTGTGGCTGTAATTTAATTTAGCTCATTGTTTTAGTTTTATGGCCTGCAACTTTACTGTTTAGTTCAGCCTCACTGCTCTCATCAGCTCTTTTTCCAGTAGCAGCAGCCAGCTGTTTTCTGCAAAGAGCTATGAACGTGCACTTTAAACTGCCTGCAACACCCAACATCAAACAGCATACAGACACAGATAGCAACTAACTGGTGAATGTTAATATTGTTCTGTGTCTGCAAGATGTGTAAATAGGCAACAATTTACTAACACGTTTGCTTTGTGCCCCAAGTGGCCAAAAATGCAGCTTAAATTTCATGAACGCTTTCAAGTTTTGTCCAATATGTTGTTAATGCTACTAAAAACTGGCTGCGGAAAGTACAAAAGTAGGAGTATAATATTAATCAATGTGAAAATTGTTTAATCACAGCTGAAGACACGTGGCAAGTATGTGTTTCAATCATGAGTTTTGAGTTTCATCTTCTGACCTCTTAAGATCGTTTTGAAAAGCAGCCTTTCATCAAAACTGAACATATGTTGCTCTACAATAACGTATTACAAGACAAATGTACCCGAATAGATCAGCATGATGGCAAAACCTGTAAACCAAGGCCTTAGTTGAATGTTGCGTTTAGATTCACAGTCATATTTGTCAGTCTGTCACTGTGTCTTTTAAATGCCTTCCTGGTGTTTATATCCTCAGCTTTGGAGGCGGACCGGCAGTAAACCACCTGTATATGTGCGCCATCTGCCAGGTGGAGATAGAAGCTCTGGCTAAACGCAGAAAAATGGAAATAGACACCTTCATCAAGGTAAAATGGCTGTATTCCACAAAGGCTTACCTGTGTGTAATTATATCTTTATGCTTTGTGTTGGATGGTGAATGAGAACTTTTCTTTTGTCTGTAGCTGAACAAAGAGTTTCAGGCCGAGGAGGCTCCAACAGTGATCCTGTGCATCAGCATGCAGTGGTTCAGAGAGTGGGAGAGCTTTGTGAAGGGAAAAGACAATGGTATGACCCTGCAGTTAGACAAATACAGTGGTGCATTAAGGTTCTTCATCAACTTTACACATTATATATATATATATATATATATATATATATACAATTTCTGTTCTCAGAGCTACCTGGTCCCATCGACAACAATAAAATTGGTGTCATGAAAGGAGGACACATACAACTCAAGCAAGGTAAAACTGCAGCGCTGGTTGAAAAGAGTTTAAAAGTGGAAATGAGAAAAACAGATGGTCAATAAATGTCTTTTTTTATGTGTGTTTCTCCGCTCAAGGTGCAGACTACGGTCAGATCTCAGAGGAGACATGGCAGTACTTGTTGGGTATTTATGGCGGGGGCCCTGAGATTGCAGTGAGACAGACAGTGGCTCCGGCTGACCCTGACAGCCTTCATGGAGAGAGGAAAATTGAGGCAGAGACCAGAGCACTTTGAAATAAAAAGAGGTTGGAATGTTTACTTTTTGGGAAACACTGTAAAAGCACCATAATCCCTGCATATACACAGACTTGCATAAAGTCACATGTTTGAATACACTTTGGGTAATGTGTAATAATGTAACAATTTACTGGAAGCTAGTTCGTAGCTGGCCTTCGACAGGCAACTTTTCCACCCGCTTTGATTACGCAAACTACATGAGTTCATGAATTCCTTCTGGCCAGCAGGGAGAAAGTTAGCTACACATGCAGCCAAAAATAATGAAGGCAGTACATCTAGCTAATAAACAATTGTAAATCCAGTCCTAGACTGTTTGGATTAAGGGACCATTAAGGGCCCATTTGTTCTCAACTTGTATCTCAACTTTTTTTATCCCCAGGTCTTCTGATTCCCCTTTCCACTCCTGCCCTCGCAGGAAGCTGAGGAATTTGCACCTTGGTGAACAAGCCTCGCTGTGAGCACTTTTGTAAATGTAGCAACGCATTATTCTGAAACCTAGAGGGTGAAATGGTACTTAAATATCACAGTTTATTTATTGGATAACTCTGATCCTCAATCTTAAGGTGTAAAAATAAGACGTCGTGTCACATCTCTGGAGCTGTTTTTGGTAGCTATGGTATTTCAGTGGCTGCTGTAGTGACTAGGCGTCATCTAGTGCTAAACTGGCTGTGGCAGGCCGACAGCTGCTAGTGTCATGAACCAGTAAGCTGAGGAGGAGAACAGAACTACTGTGTGATGTTTGGTTTCTTCATGGGAAGCAACAACCAAGAGACATTAAGATGCTTTATGTTGTTTACCTGTTTACTAGTTACATAGCAACAAGTTCAAGTGAGAGATATTGCATAAATCTTACTCTTGCACCTGCAACCTTAAATACACAGTCTAATGGATCCCTCAGGGAATGGAAGTCTTTTTTTGTGTGTGTGAAATGATCAGATAAATGAGCTATAAGAAAACACAAATGTGCATGTGTTCCAAAAAACATTTTCAGGGTAATTTGTATTTGAAAAGCTTCAAAATGCATGAAACTGCAACTCCTATTGTTTCTCGACCTGTAAGGACATTTCACTGACACGACGAGGTGTTGAGTTTGTTTGCTCAGACACACAGTAACACTGTTCATGTGTTCAAAATATTGAGTCGCTCCTGTCCAGCATTATCCATAAATAGGCATATACGGACATATACATATATGGCTATGATTTTAAATAGAGTAGACAAATAGCAAATTTCTAAAAAGACAAACTAATATAATTTTAATACATGGCTAGAGTGCAGTAAGTAAGAGGGTGACATAGAGGATGCAATAACCGTAAGAGAATTTTTCATAATAGCTTGTACTTCAGAAACATCAGTGTGAATTACCTCAAATCAGTTCTTAGATGATTCTAAAATTTCTAATAATGCAGTACCTGTTTAAACCAATAGAGGGCAGTATTAAAGATTTTTTTTTTTGTCAATGTACCACTTGAGCAACAAAGAAAAAAATCTGACATCACAAAATATTAGCACAACCTGCACATATCCCAACCTGTTACAATAGTAAGGTAATTTGTGATCAAGTGTATTTTTTTATGTCCGTATAATATGTTAATTTTGCATGTTTCGTCATGAATTTATCAGCAAAATGAAGCTGTACCCTGTGGTAGGGATGCTACATCATGAGGTATTTGCTTGTAAACATATTTGAGAAACTGCAAATAGAGTTTTTGTAAAGCTGTATTTTTAAATTAGATGTAAAAATTCACATGTCTTCACTAATTTAGACACCAAGGCTTGTTTACTGAAATTATACACTGGGTGGGGGGTGTCCAAACCTATAAACCAAACAGGAAGCGATGAATCGACACTCTGTGTCGAGAAATCTGGATTCAAATCTTATGTGTGTCTCGTCTTTTTTTCTATGTTTTGATCACAGATAAGACTGGTAAACAAGATCAAAATCTATAAGAAATGTCAGAGTCGTTCAACTGTTCTCTCTCTCTCTCGCTCGCTCGCTTTAGAAAATTCACATGCTTGCCTTTTTTTTTTACTCTACAGATCTGCATAGGCAAAGTTTGCCATCACATTTTAAGCAGTTAAAGCCTTGCAACACATGGGAAACACAAGTTAACAGTAACCCAAGTATAACTACTTTTCTGCCTCTTTATATAATAATAGTCAATTTCTTCCTACTATTTATAGATATCCATTTTGAAATTCAAAAGTAGGACATTTTAATTTATTATTTTCTGTTAAATCATATTATTATAACAGTTATGTTTACATAGCACAATTAATTTATACTGTTTAAAAGTACAAGATCATATTAAATTAAACATTTTGAGTCAACTTACACTGTTTGATGATAAAATCCCCGGAGCCATATTACATAAGTACCAAAAAGTAACACAATTAATAAAATTGTTAGATAATCTTTCCTTTAATAATAATCATTATGGTAGTAATAATACTTTTTGACAGAAAACACACAGAAAACCCTCCAGAAGTAAGAGATCCACTCAGATAAATACTGAGTGACAAAACAGCATTTCTAAATCTATTTGTGAACAGAATCACATGTTAAATTATTGAAAACAAGAATGAACACTGAATATTAGTCTTTATTGGCCATACAGCATCCACATAGGGATACAGTGGGTTTCTTTGCACCTGTTTTTGTAGCAGCATTAAAACAATGAGATCTGAAATATATAATTATAAACAGAAATATTAAGAACATGATAATGTATTAATTAAGAATATGAAGTACAGTCATCCTACCTTGGAATACAGTGCCTTCAAGTCCCTACACACCCGCTTTTCACCCCCACACATTTAAATAATTTGCCTGATTACAACTGTGTGGGCATGTACATATGGTACTTGATTGACAGCTCCCTCGCTCTTTTAGCTTTATTAGGGTGGAAAAATTAAAACCATCATCATTTCAAGTTTAGTTCAGTGATCTCACGTAAATTCCCAGCGTAGCTCTGCTCAACTTGGCCAGAGGTCTAATCAGCCAGGATAAGTGAAAACACCTGTGTGGCAATGCAGGGGCCTCAGTAAATTTTCCATCGACCTTGACTCCAGAAAGGTCTATTAAAGCTGTGTACCATGAAGTCTCCCAGCTGTATTTAATTTTAAGAACAATCAGAAAAGGTTACATTGACAGCACAAATTCAGTTAGAATATGACACGTTATACAATGTTTGCGTATGGAGGGGGATGACATAGAAATTAACCTGAAATGAAAAAGGGTTTTCAAAGTGCCCATAAATTAAAATATGTGAAAGTCGTTAAAGGATTAGTTTTATTGGCCTTTCTTTATCGGCTTTCTTGCTGAGAGTTGGATGAGAAGATCGATACCACTCTCGTGTCTGTATGGTAAATATAAAGCTATACACAAACAGCCAGTTAGCTTAGCAGAAAGACTAGAGGGAAATATCTGGCTCTTGTTCACTAGCTAGTCTCTAACCGTGTCTGTCTGCTGTTTGGTGCTGAGCAGGTAATGTCCAGTGGGTTTTTAGAGCTTTTTCACTGAAAACAGCTGCCTGCTGCCACCAAAAACAAAACTATGAGAAAAGTGAGAGTAAACCAAAGCACTATAATGGCTAACATTAACTCAGCAAGCAGTGAACCTTCTTATAGTTTCCTGGCCCTCTCAGACGACGCCAAACCAGAACCCGTAGTTGAGTTTCAGAGTCACCATAAGCCTGTGACCAAAACATTTAAATAATTTAAATAAAGTTGAAGGCAGCCATCATTAATGTTATTCATTTTGCTTGAAATCTTCCTGCTATGATATGTCAAACGCCATGTCTCTTAACTTTATTCCACACCATGGCCTATAATTATCCATGTCTCCTTGTTTTGTTTGCTGAAGTGTCCAAAGAGCAGTTCATTAATTTTAAAAAGAGAGGACCCTGATTTTTCAATTTGTCAAAACTGTTTTGTTGTGTTTTTCTTTTCACACATGTCCCATCTGTATCTACAAGAGATAATAGTAATACTACGGGGATGTGTGTGCTATGTTTAGATGTTTTGGGGGATTAAGTGCAATGAAAAAAACAAGACAAATCTTTGTGTGCAACCTTAGCTCTATCATCAAAGATACACTGGACGGCCATCAAACACAGAGCAGTTTGAACGGCTGACAGTAAACACTGGGCAAGTGCAGCTTATTATATTGCAGTGTTAAGAAATGTCGAGTGGTAATGGCATAATTATCCCCACCTGTGAGTTTGTTTGCTTGTGTTACAACACGTAGCTATGGTTGTGAGATTTTCATTTCATATTTCACCAGAAACAAGATTAATGCTTTCCCTACATCTTACAGTGTGTGGCTGTTGTGGTCATGAAAATAGTGATGCTTTGATAACATGGGACTTAAGTGGTTGACCTGATGTCTCAATGTCTGTATAACTGATGTAATTACTCTTGACTGGTTAAATGATTAAAATTGCCTGGTCTTTGATTTGTGTTTTGTTTACTGCATTTTCTTCTAATTAGGACCAGTCAGCACTGAAAATGGAGAAAATAGAAACAGATAATTGTTTTTGGATAAATATTTTAAACCCCATTGAGAATAGTTTTTTTTTTTTTTTTTTTTTTAAAGGGTAACTCCAATCTTCAATTTGCTTGTTATGGTAAGTACTTCTCTTCCTGTGAAAACTGCCGAAAGTCTTCTGTGGCTCTGAAGGAGATCAAGTCTGAGGAAATAACCCTGGTGATGTCATAGTGAGGTCATCAGGGTTATCTCAGCTAAGAGACTACATATTTAGAACAGAAAGCTTGCATTACAACCTAGGAACATGAGGTTTAAAGGAAAAATGTGATATTTTGGGAAAAAGGCAAATTGGCTTTAATGCTGAGTCAGATGAGAAGATCGAAACAACTCTCATTTTTATCTGTTAAATGGAGACAGTTAGCTTAGCATCAAAACTAGAAACAAGGTGGAAACAGCTAGCCTGGTTGTGTCCAGAGGTAAGAAAATTTTCCCACCAGCACTTTTAAAGCTCACTAATTAACACAGTATATCTCTTTAAATCAATACAAAATGTGTATGAATAAAACCTTTTTATCTTATCTTTTCTGCTTATTGACAGAGCCAGGCTAGCTGTTTCCCCATTTCCAGTCTTTATGCTATGCTAACAGGCTGCGGATTCTATATTTAGCATGCATGGATCAATCTTTTCATCTAACTCTGCAATAAAGTGTAAAAGCGAACTTCCCAACATGTATAAACTATTAATTGAAAAGACATTTTAGGAAAAGTCGGGATATCTCATCCTTGGCTGCAAAGATTGGACCCAGTCTTTTTCAAATCTGTCTCTTCTGAATTTTCCAACTTCATAGGATTCTTGGTGGGAGCAATGCTAATTTGCTGGAGTACCCCTTTTGAAATAGATTTGTAAATAAATATCACACTGACTTTAATTTCAGCATCTTTACTTCTAATCTAAATAAAAAAAATCTTTGATCTAGAGAGAATTTTAAAGATGAGATGATAAATACACTGCTTTAAAAAATACTGTTTTTGTAACTTTTGTTGTCTACAGAAACAATATAGTTAAGTATAAGAGACACAGAGAGGATTTACCTGTTTTAAGAAAGAGAGAGCAACTCTCAAGTGAGCAACTGTGATGTCATCTTAAGTCCCATACGTATGCTGAGCTGTATCCTGCCCAGACAGAGGCAGACTGAGAGGAAAACACACCGGGCTGCTGAGAGGATATGATGCACATACTGAGAATTCTTGAAGACCTGCGAGCCCATGCACTGAACAATTCAGGTAAGATATAAAAACAAAACTGGCTTAAGGACTAGTCTTTCATATACACATACATACAAATGCAGCTGCAGCATCCGTCCACATGACATTACGAAAATATTGGCACGGTTCCTGCTCTTCATGTTTGTCATCGAAGCTGGGATACTTACTTGTATGCTGTAATGGATGCATTTTGTGATGCACCAGATACACTGATGAATAATTAAACATCCCATAGTTGTGCAGGCCATTGAATATCAAATCAGCAGATCACAAAAAAGTGACAATCCAGGAAAACAGGATGGAGGCTGGCTTTAAGAGGGTCGCCCCTGCTGTGTCTATGCAGTGGGATGGGATGGGTGTGGCAGGTAGAAGCTTGTCCTTCCATCCCCATCAGTAATGTCATTTTCATTCTTGGCTAAACGTTCTCTGTGCACCAGCCAGCTTTGCAGGATGAAGGTCAGATGAGCAGGATCTGCACTAATGAACTGGGATAATTACCAATCATGCATTGAAATATCTGTGCCAGTGTGAAAGGGATAGTCAGCTGCATGGATTCCCTTGTGTAATTATTTTGAATATGATGACAAATGTTATAAAGTACACAGTATACACAGTTGTATATCACATCAGTGTAATGTTATTAATTAAAATAAGCAACCCCTGTCTGTTGGTACAGCTGTCAGAACTAACTGGATTCTTCTAGGGTTATATATACATTTTTAATACTCCAGACTATGAACACTTCAGCGAGTGGTTCCCCCCATTTTACCTCAGTATGTCCTGGTTACCCATTTCCTACAGCTCTCCTGTAGGTACATAGTTATTTAATCAGTAGCAACTGATCGGAACCCAGCAGACCAGAAGAATAAAACATGTTAAACCTATTTTGAAGTCCTTACATTGGTTGTCTGTCAGTGTTTGTACTGATTTTAAAATTATTTTGCTTGTCTTTAAAGCACTTCATGGTCTAGCACCAGCCTATTTGTATGACATGCTTCCAATCTATGAACCAGGACGGCCCCTCAAGTCCTCTGGCATGAAGCTTTAAGTTGTTTCTAAGTGCAGGACAACAACTTTTGACAAGGCGGCTTTTAGTTGCCATTAAAAATCTCTGTCCGAGGATCTGAGAGCAGCTGAAACTGTTATCTTTGAATGTATAAACCTCCTTTTTAGCATTATTATCAAAATGTTTTATGGCCATTGTATTGTAAAATAATTTAATCTATGTTATTTATTTTCATTTTTATTTATTGTAGTCTCAAATAGTTTTACTGTTTACATTTGTACTGTTTTGTTATCAGCTTATCAGTTTTGTCCTTTACCTTGAAAAGTGACAATGGATTGTCTAATTTAATCTGCCGCTAACTTAACTCCATTCGTTTATTTCCTCAGGCATATACATTACACCTTATTTGACAGCCATGCTTCATGAAGTTGAAGAGAGGATAACTAACATGAGACAGGAAGCAATTCATTTATCAGCGCTCTACTATGAGTAGGCCCTTTGGTGATCCTGCACCCAGCTAAAGCAAAAATCAATGTGCTGCAATATCATCAGAGGAGGAAACCACCAGATGAGTTGTGTCGTGGACTGAAAGACTGTAGCACTCACATTGAGCATATCTCTCTCAGTGGAAGCTCAGCTTTTATGCAAAAGCAGCCACTGTAAATATTACATACCATGTCTGGCAGCTCATAGAGACGGAGAACACCTTGAAATAAGACTGGTTATAACATTTTACCTCATAATAACCCTGCAGGCCCTGCAGGCAGGGCTGAATGTTATACTGTTGTGGTTTCTTGGTTGCTGAAAACAAGAAAGAACTTGATCAGTAGCTGCACTCTTTGTTTTGTGGTACTTTGTTCTGCGCCTCCCTTTCCCTGCTTGTCCACTCCCCCCCTCACTTCAAGCCTTTTATAGAAGAAAACCCATGTTACAAGGAAATACTTACTCACAGGAATTTGCATTTACTAGGTCTGTGTTTTAAACACCAGTCATACTGTAAAACTGACTCTTTGCCTACATAGTATAAAGGTATAAAATATTTATTCAGTACGCATATATTTTACTAAACTTGCCAATATATTGCCATTTATGTGTTTGCAAAATATAATGATCTGAAATCTCTTGCTCTTAAAATCTATGGACAATATGTGATCATGTTTTTTTATGAAACAGCAATAATTGGAAATATATTTTACAGCACATTACAAATATACTGGATTGTTAAATGTAGTTCAATATATTAGATCTGGGTATATGTAAATATATTTCTGTTGCATAAGTTGCAGGTTTGTATATACGTACATATGTGTATTAGTGATGATGTTGCTTCTTGCCCTCACCTGTAAAATACAAAATAAATTAGAGAAGCTGGTGAATAAGCGAGGGTGAGTATGTATACTGACGCTTGTGTGGGGGTGTAGAGATACTTGTTTATACCTGTATAATCAGTCTCCTCACCTGTTTGTACACACGCCATGGGCTGTGCCATGTGTTCCCAGCTGGTTGACATGTGGACTGTGAGAGTGAGCAGGACGGGCCGCAGGGCCATGGAGCTCACCTCCTATCCACAGATGCTCCAGGGAGGCTACCACAGAGTAACTGGCCTCCACTACATGTCATCCTTCTCTGATGCTGAGGACTGCTGTGATGACACCAGCTCAGGCAGTTCTCTCACCTTGGACTGGCAGACACAGGGGACAGATGGCTGACACTCCTCCAACATATAAATAAAGAAGATAAAATTTCACAGGAGATGTGTATTTGCAATAAAGTTGGTAATTGTTGTTGAATAGAAATAGGATCTGAGTGTAGTTTGTTGTTCTACAATTCTACACAACTAGTCTTACTGCAGCACTAAGTAACCAGTGTTATCCATCACCTTGATAAAAACCCCACAGAGGTTAAATACCTGGCACTCCCTTCTAGTCAGTTAGAACTGAAGATGTCTCTTGGATGAGAGGCGAAACTTCTTCAAGTATCTCCAGTCAAGTCCTGTTTTTTACTCCTTGGATTTGAATCTGAGTACTTCTTCCAACTCTATACTTAAGAAAAAGTATTATCAGCAAGACATACTTAACAAACAAAGAGTAAAAGTACTCTTATTACATTTATTTGACAGCTTTAATTACTAGTTACTTTACAGATTTAGATAATACCAAATATACATCAACAGACACTTTGAATTTAGTGACCTGGACACATTCAAATCACTTATCAAAACCCACCTCTTTAGATTTTAGATTAGCCTTCAAATTCAAATAATGATGCATTTCACCTGCTGCTATTTGGTAGTTTTAGCATCAATAATAATGATCCAGTAATATAACATGACTCTGAAACGGGCCATTCTTTATAGTGAGTAGTCTACTTTTACTTTTAGCAGGCTACTTGATATGATTCTGTGCAAATATATTTTTTAACTTTAACTTTTTATTTCAAAGGTAGGACTTTTACTTATAATAGAGAACACTGCATTACTTTTACTGAATTGAGAGATCTGAATACTTCTTCACCACTGAGTAAAAAGCCACAGAAAGTGGAAATACCCAAGTGAAATATGTCAAAATTGTAAAAGTACAGTACTTAAGTAAATGTACTTAGTTACTTTCCAACACCCTGCTGTGATCAAATGGTTTCATGACTACTGCATAAAATGACATCATAGTGTTGTGAAATGTACCACCACCACCACTCA